AGTCAAGGCCGAGCATCGGCAACCTCACGGCAAGATGGAGTCGTTGGGTGTTCCCGTCTAGAAATGGGAAGAGATCATGATGGATTTCATCACGAAGCTACCGTGGACAATGCGAAGGGTAGATTCGATTTGGGTCATTGTGGATAGGTCGATCAAGAGTGCACATTTTATTCCTATTTAGGAGAGCATGCAGATGTCTATATCCGGGAAGTTTTGGCATGATATGGGGTTCTGGTATTAGTGGTTCTAATCGGGATGTACGCTTTACTTCCAAATTCTTGAAGAGATTCCATGAGGAATTGGGTACTCGATTGCACTTTAGCATGACTTTTTATCCGTAAACTGATGGACAAAATGAGCGGACTATATAGACTTTGGAGGATATGATTTAGTTATGTGTGATTAATTTTGGCGGTAGTTGGTATACGAATCTCTCATTAGCTGAGTTTTCTTACAACAACAACTACCACGTGAGTATTTATCGACCTTCTTTTGAGATTCTCTATGGGAGGAAGTTTTGGGCCCCTATTTTGTTTGGGGTTACGTCAGTCAACGAGTAATAAGTAGCATGGAGGTGGTGCTCCGGACTACCGTGTTGAATCACAGGTACGCAGGAGATTGTTGACCGCATAGAACTGACAGAAGAGTTATGGTGATAGGTTCTGATTGGATTTGGAGTTTCAGGTCGGAGATATGGTACGCCTGAAGGTTTCACCTTGGAAAGGTGTCATCCAGTTCAGGAATCGGGGCAAGTCGGGCCCTATATATATTGGTCATTTTAGGGTTATTTCCAAGGCGGGCGGGATTACGTACCATTTAGAGTTACCCGAGGAGTTTATTCAGATTCACAACATTTTTCACGTCTCTCAGCTCCAAAGTGTCTGGTTAATAGTTCCACAATGGTGCCATTGGAGGATATTCAGGTGGACGAGCGCCTAAACTATATAGAGAGACCAGTTACGATCCTTGATAGGGAGACAAAGACCCTAAGAAACAAGGTGGTGAACTTGGTGAAGGTTTAATGGTGGACCCGAAGAGGCTTAGGGTGGATGTGGGAGCCTGAGGAGGAGATGATGGAGCATTACCTAGAGTTATTTGTAGAGGCGTACTTCGAGGATGAAGTCTGATTCATGTATGGGAGAGTTGTAACATCCGTTTTCCAGGTATTTTCCATTCTTGACTTAAACTATAAAATCTTGCCATTTTGGTCCTTATACGAGACGTATACTATATGTATGTTGGGCATAATTCATTAAATGTAACGCAGACTTCATGCATTACGTTGGGCGTACATGATATCTACGCATGGCATACTCAAGCTGATCCTAAAACCCTAAACTTTAGGGTAGAGACCCTATTTAATCACCTTAAGTCCCTTGAGGTCTCTTCATGTTCAACCTCCACTCTGCCCAAAGCAATTATTTCAAAACCGTAGCTACTTTGTGAAGATATTGAGCATTTTGAGTGAGATTTTGTGTGTTCTGTGAAGAAGGAATCCACTATGGAAGCATCGGGGAGTTTAGAGCTTGAAGATCCATAACTTCCATCTCATTTGCAAGCCTCGGAAGGTATAATGCTTGAACATTTATGATCCCTTGGTGTAGATCTAGGTTAGCTTATATTTTTACATGCTTTTGGTCACATGGATTTGGTTCTTATGAGTAAAAGCTACTCTAGAGCTTGTGATTGTCGTATCTTGTTATTTCTGAGGATTTTAAGTCATAAAAATGGAATCTTCATGGTTGTTTTTCACCCATGCGAGGGTTTGGAGTCATTAGAAGATGTTAAGGATCTAGGGTTTGGTTTAGGACTCCATTAAGCCATGAAAAGTCATAAACTCGGGAACTTTATGACTTTAGACGTCCATTAGAGGTAGATATGAGTGTTTTACATTTGGTTTTAAACTATTAAAAGCTTAATGAAGGGTTAGGCATGTGGGGTGTAATCCATGAGTACGTAGTGCATAACAAGGCATGGCCCCATTTTCTATGGGAACTTGGTACACATGGCGTACTCCCAGGAGTAGAAATAATTTTTTTTTGGGCTTTGGGCCAAGTTGGGTGGGTCTAGACGTGGAAGGGTAAAATGGTGTTTTACCCTTAGCGAGAGAGAATACAAAATGGATCTTATTTATAGGTTATTACCCTAATTATTAATTAGGGTTGGTTTTGATATGTACAGTGTGAGGAGATAACAGCAGTGTGTGTGAGATTTGGTTATCTTCATATTGAGGTGAGTCTCCTTATAGTATTTGCAGATCGAAGGCACCAATTTCGGCCCATTGGATTATGTTTATAGGATGCTAGCTGTCTTAGTGACTCTTACATGTATTTGTATGTATGTTTGGGAGGGGGACTATATGTTATTAACAGATCTGTTTCGGGGCGGGGCCCGATGTATGTATGGTATGTGCAATTTTGAGGAACTCATTAAGCTTTGTGCTTATAACTTATGTTTATAGTTTCAGGTACCTCTGGATCGAAGGGCAATGACTCGGCATAATTGCACAACATCCACCGGTGTTCTGTATTTTATGATTTTGATTTGTACTTTGATAATTATTTTCTACATTGTCACACTTTGATTGGTTTTTGAAATGAATGATTGATGGTTTTCATTGACTTAAAAATAAAATATTTTACTTAGTATTGTTGGGACGTTACAGGAGGTGGTTTTGAAAGCCGCCAAAGCAATAGTAGAGTCACTGACAACTTTGCGGAACATCTTGTGAATTTTAGCTTGAGAGACAAGATCACGAAAATTGGGACATGGAGTGATCAGTCATTGAGTGGTGGAAAAGTTTCAAAAGATGAGCCAAGCCCACAAAGAAACCAATGAGACTTGTGATCTTGATCAAGAGGGTGACCAATAGCTGCTAGTTGATCACATTTATTCCTGAATTTACGAGAATACTTAGGGACAATGGATGTACCTTTCTTAAGATGGCGAATAGAATCCCTAAGAATGTGGGTTCACTCAAGAGAATCATGCCGATAGATAGCTTCAAGGGGAGTCCAAACAGCATAAGAAGTGTTGTGGCCTAGGGTTTATGTCATGGCTTCTTTAGAGAGAGAAGGTTGGAGCAAAATAAGTGCTCTTTGGTCAACAACAATCCATGATGTATAAGTCAGATGTGGAGCCAACGTTTCACCAGTAACAATGGTAGATGGAGGTTGTGGAATAGACCCATCAACATAACCAGTAAGCTTTTGATAAGACAATAGAGGAAACATCTTTTGCTCCATAGCAGGTAATTTGATGATGACAATCTGATGGTTAGCATATGGAGGATCGTGGATGGGGAAGAGGAGATCCATCATTCTTTGAGGATTCGACAGTCATGATGAAAGATACGGGGGAGAGGATTGTGGCCAGGAAGGTATTTTAAGCTGATACCATATTAGGTTTTTGTAATCACCTCAATTAGGTGGGTTATGAATTAATCAATTTATAATAGTTACGATACAACAAACTATTCTAAAATACAAGATATAAAATAATAAGATCCTGTAAACTATGATAAGATAAGTTTAACTCTGTTACTAACGGTAACGAGTATGTTGGAAGGTGTCACTCTTCAAGTGTTGAAGGATTCAGGTCTGGTAGTGATTAGATGAATATTCGAGATAACTGTTCTAAGAATCATTAACAATTTTTGATACATCTTCTTTATGAGTTCATGTATATTGCATTCTATGTCGATTTACGAGGCATCGAGCAAAATGCTTCTTCCATAAGCTAGTATCTTAAAATTTTGAAACAAAATTACGGTAATAGGTTTCAAGTTTGAGACCGAAAATTGAAAGAAATTAAGTTCAACTACAAACTACAAACGCACTATTCAGTGGCGGAATCAGAAATTTTGATATGGGGTATAAACATTATCAATATATTATGTGTAGTAATCCAATATCGGACGTTAAAAAACAAGTTATAATCTTTTTAGTTGGGGATAAAATAACATGAAACATGTTTATAAATAATATTTTTTACATATATAAAACAATTTTTTAAGGATACTATAATACCCCAACATCCCATTTAGCTTCGCCGCTAGCTCTAATTTTCTTTTTATCAATTTTTATGGTATTAGTAAATATCTAAAATATGTATGTGAGTTTAGTTCTTTAGTATGAATATATAGTGACTGGTCCTGTCAAGCCCAAATAAGTGTGACTCGACTCGTCGTGGCCAAGCCCAACTATGCCTGACTCATTGGTTGCAGCCCAACTCATTTCGTTTTGAAACATTTCTATCCTGCTGGAGCTGCACATGCACTTCCCCAACCGACATGTATAAAATAACACAATCAAAAACAAATTTGATTATGTATTTGAAGGTTTGAACATCCAATCTTAAATGCATAAATTGGAATCTTGTATTAGTTTTTTAATGCACATAGGACACGATTAACCACCAAGTGTCCATGAACTCGTATTACCCACTAGATTTACAGAGTTGAACCGAGATTGATTAGATGCATACCATGTGTTCGACAAAAATCCAAAATGCCATAACCACTAAAATCTCCCTTTCATACTACACAAATTGTTCCTATAAATCTCTCTCCCCATATTCCCGATCACCTGAACAACAACCATGTCTAGAACCACCATCTTCCTCATACTCGTCCTCCTCCTCTGCTCCCCACCACCCTACACCGCCGGCCTCACCACCACCACCACCACCATGACGAAACATAAAAATAAGGTAACATAGAAATCATGTATAAATTCATATTTTCAAGATCTTAGAATATTCTCATTTTCTATGTAGGGAGGTGCTGAAACTTCTGCACAAATTGAAGATGGGTGTGATGGAATTGGTGAAGAAGAATGCTTGATGAGAAGAACACTTGTTGCTCATACCGACTATATCTATACACAGAACCAAACCCCATGAAAAAGCTTCCATCTTTATTCATGTACATTGTTATTTTTCAAGATTCTTTAACAAAATATATACATTATATGGATAGTTTAGTTTCTTGTCTCCAAAACCTAATATGAAACCAAACTCCATGGAGCACTTAACAGGTGCAAATACAGTGAAATGAATATTGTCATAACAATCAAAGATTTTGCACTTAAGTACCTGTAAGCTTCTTGATAGCTTCTTTTCATACGCTCTGATAACTTGTCTAAGGAAAATTGGAGAAAAGATTTTGCAGTTGCAAGTGTGACTCTTCCTGTCACATCAAGAACAAACCTTATGTTGCCAGGAACTGCTAGAGAAGATGACATGTTACTCTTTCTTGCTTTTAGTTTACTCAACACTAGTTCTTTCCCATCTAAAACTTTACTAATGGTAGAAGAAGGTTTAGGGTTCGAGTTCGATTTTGAATCTGTCAAGAGTTGGTGAGATGTTCTGACGAAAGTCTCGATAGCACTGTTGCAGATTAACGCCAATAGATTTCTCACTTTTTCTTCGTGTTTAGGGTTAGTCAAACCTGATAAGATCTCCTCGAAGGGGTTTATGTCGATGGTTTTGTCGAGATAAACTGTCACCATTGTGGCCACGAACTGCTGAATACAATCACCGATTAGCTTCCTACATTTGTCATCAGCAATCACATCGATCCATTCATGAAGCGGACTACCGGAGTTCTTTGAACCACCGATGAATAGATTCCTGGCGAAACTCCCAGCAATGACGGAAGCAAAACCAGAACCTGCCGGAGTTAACAGCTTATCCAAAGCTCGATCGGGAAAACTTGGACCTGAATCACGTTTTCCGGCGTCAACTCGATACCCTTGTAGAAGCCCCACGGTGAATGATCGTGTAATCTTAACAATTGACTCCGAGAACTCGTCAGACTTGGTAATTTTGAAAACTTGCTTCAAACTACTAGGGATTTGATCGGAATCGGATTGTATAAACTCTTTCAGATCCTTGGAAATCACTCCTATTGCCTCGGCGGAATCACCGAGAGATTCGGTAATGGAAGCTAAGGCGCCTAAAACCTTCATCACCCTATCCCTCTTCTGAATGACAGAAGGCGATTTACAGACCTTATAAGCACCGTAAGTTGAAAACCCTAACGCTGCTATGAGAAGAATCCATTTCTTTCTTTTCCTGGAGAAACGCAGACCTTCGTTTATCGTTGCTAGATCCATGTAATACACCTGTTCGAGGATTTGCAGGATATTTTGGGTTTTGCACTTTTTACTAAATCAAAAAGAAACCAATTGGGTGCTCTTTTACAAATCTTGACCTAGGGTTTGCAATTGCAATGCTGTGTAAAGAGATGAATTCGAAAATCGATGAATATATGCATAACACGATCAAATGAACCTGGAATTGGGAAAGCCACTGCAGATTTTTGCGAAGGTACGTTCGATCATGGTGGAAATGTGTGCGTATAATCGACATCATCCCTTATCGTTATCGAAATATGGGAAATTTTATCCAGGAAAGAAATACGTCTTTGTCTGCATGTTCTATAATTTGATAAAATATATTATTTAATGCAATTTAAAATTAAAAAAAAAAAGCATATATGGTCTTAGAAGTTAGAACTTTAGTGAGATAAGTTTTTATTGATTATTTAGTAAAAATAGCTATAATTTTTAAAATGTATACATTATATAAAAAGATAAGTGGTTAAACACCACATGAAATAGCTTCATATTTGGAGTTTTTCTTTTTAAATTGAGTTTTTTATTTTAAAGTTAAAAAATAAAAAATCTAAAACTCCATGTCAAATATACCCTTAGATTTATAATTTAAAACATTTCGAAAATGCAAATATGCAACCATGTTTTGTTTTTATAACAATAACCGATTTCTCTATATGATTAGTTGGATTATAATATTTTTGCTTCTACAGAAGGCATTTACTTTGAATTGTAAGTTATACAAATATTATGTCATATAAAGCAATCAAAATAAATATTTTGTATATAGAATATGTATTATAGCAATATATCATATTTGTGTAAGATCAACCTTGTGGAATCTCAATTGATGTGCGTTTCATCTATATGTCCAAACTGAACCTTGGTTTTTTTCTAATCAGAAACCGGTTCTGAGGAAAAAATAAATCTGTAATCTGATTTCAATAGGTTTGATGAAAACTAGTTTAAAAATGGGGACCATTTTTTTATTTGGTTTGCAAAAACAAAAATAAAAAAATAAAAAAAAATAAAGTTTGGTTTCAATCCAAACATTTAAGGTAGTAGAAAAATATCATTTTGATCCATCAATTTATGAAATTGCTGTGAATATAGGGATTTGGAGGCATGCTAAAAATAATAATAAATAAATAAAGTTACAAAAACGATTAACCTTTTAACTGGCCCGAATGAAAGAAAACCCGCTTACAATCGTGGTGAAATAATACATTTGGCTTATTAGGTCATTTCTAACCATATAAATTTTAACAAATTCCCACACTGAAATCAAACACGACAAAACACCACAAAAATCGCAAAAATATAGATTTTTCAAACCGTTTTTCCAAATATGGTTTCAATCTAACGTGTAACCGGTTATGTAGAATCTAACATATTAGCCCCAAATCTGGTTTCAATCACATTTGATTTCACCAAAAAATGGTTCGCAATAACTTTTTAATTAGTCAAAATAGACCCTTTATTCAACTACATGTGCACTAGTGCACAACTCACAACTCGAATCCCTTTAGGCTACGCGTGATAGTGTGATACATACATATAAATTGTATGTACGTAAGTATCTGTTATTGGATAATGGATACAATGGCAGATCCACATAATAATTTGATCGGGGTGCATTATATAATAAATATTTAATAATAATAATAATAATAATAATAATAATAAATCAAATTAAATAAAACAATAAAGTATAATAATATTTGAGGTTCTTTATTCGTTATCTGTTGCTTTCTTTTCAGATCTTTTCAACAAAATTGATAACAAATATCTAAAAAAATAGAAGTAAAAATAGATATGATAAAGAAGAAACTCTAAAAAAATCAATTTTTAATGGGGCAAACTAGAACTTTTTTTTCTTCATTCTTATATGATAACATAGTTGATTATTAACATGCGAAATCCGTCACTGATTGGTGTGTATGTATCAACTTAGTAAGTAAAATTGTATATAAAATTTGATCTATTACCTATACTGTATCCCTCACTCATTTTGATCTATTACTTCAATATTTTTCTACTTATTTTCCAACTAAAACGACTTAAAAACATTATACGTAATAAGATTTTTTTGAAATAAATCTCAAGAGTTACCTGTTTATATCTCTATATTGTCTAAAATTGCTAAGTCAAAAAGTAACCTCAAAGTTACATGTCTAAATGAGAATAAACTTTGTATATATTTCAACAAAAATGGTTGAAATTGCAAGGGTTTTCTTGGAATTCATCCCATTCAAAATAAACTGTAAACAAACTATTTACCAGCCATTGTGGACTTAACAAATCAGAAAGAATAATCCCCAAATGTCATGCCACATCAATGTCAACAACATCAAGCCAATCATTAGATTCCTTAGTCTCAGAGTTATGCACACTTACTTGTTCAGATCCATGACTTGAATCCGCTGAGCTTAGATCCAATTCTACCCAACTTCCTAACTCAGTTCTTGAAGAATCAGATCCATATGCTGCTTTCTTGTAATGTATAGGAATGTTTCCATCATCATCTTCTTCTTCTTCAAGATCACTAAATGATACATCCACATCATTCTCAACAGTGACTGTAACAATCTCTGAACTCTCTTCTTTTAACCACTCATCTTCATCTTTGGTTAGGTCATGTGGCTTCTCTTGAATCATAGATTTTTCAACCATCTTGATGTCATCCCTTTCAATGGGGTGTTTGACTTTTACAGTCTCAAGAAGGGCAGATTCTGGTGCAGAATTGGCCATGTTTTCAGAACAAGAACTGATTCTTCGTGCTTCATTCTTCAACTGTCGGTTTTTCAACTCATGTGTTAACAGGGATCTGGCTCTCACAATCTGCATACAGAATATGAATCATAGATATTACTATCCATGAATCAGGGAAAGAGTGTATGCCTATCAATACTAGCATACTTACCTTGGGTGTTGAAAGAAGTTTGGCAGCATTGTGTTCGAGTATTGGATGCAAATGTACAAAATAGATCTTCCAGAAGGAAGTCTCTGTCATATAATCAGGGCAGAGCTTAATCCTAAGAGCACGTAATCTTGGTGCCAGATCTTCAATAGCCAAACCATGTTCTTGTTGGGCATCAGACAGGTGAAAGTCTGGAGTAAAAGGGAAAGAAAGCATAATACAATTGTTAAACCGAATTAGAAAGAGGACATGGTATTAATTGTGGTCTAACTAGTAAATTACACCATCGATTATCATAATTAATGAATGTTCTAAGGGACATTCAATTGAACATCAGATACTAGCATGTTGAATAGGATAATGAGCAAGCAAATTATTAATTATAATTCGGTCTGAATTGAACTGTTATACCTTCATCGTCGTCTTCATCATCGAGTAAAGGAAAATCCAACCAAGTTTCAGGATGCATAGCGATATCCGTAGCAAAAGCCACAACTTCATCCGTAACACCAACGGCCCCATCGCCATCAGAGGAATCGTAATCGTCATCCTCAGATTCCAGGTGAAGAAAATCCGAAGCCATTTTAGTAATCTCCAAGACATCTATATTGTTAGACAGTTTAGAAATTCCACTGCGAAACTTCCCTCCGATCTCGGCGAAGTCTTTGCGTATTCCAGAGATTGCTTCCGGAGCAGAAGTTTCCGGATCAGACGGATTCGATCGCTCATTAGGGTGTCTGGAGGGAATCGGAGGAGCAAGAAAGGACGCGACGCCCCAGAATTGACGAGTTAGGGTTTTTGTGATCTCTGATAGGTCTTCTTTGACTCCTCGTCCTGGAGATTTAGGTGAATTGTTCTCGACTGCTTGTTGTTCATGTTTTTGATTAGTGGAGTCTTCTGTGTTCTTGTTCACAGGATATTGTTCGTCGTCGTCGTCGTCGTCGTTGTCGCCTAGTTTGAGAGTGTTGCCGATTGATCTAGTGAACCATGACATTGTAGAATATGAGATTTGTGATTCAGAAGATTGAGATTTCCGGCGGCGTTGGCGATCGGAGTAAAGTTCAAGTTAAGAAGGATTGGGTGGCCCAATTGCGGAGTTGCTTCTGCCGGAGACGAACGACTCCATCAAAGGGAGTCGTAAGTAAGTCAGCCGTCGTGGTATTCCGGGAAATTCAGTGGTGATTACAAGGTATCAAATTACAGAAAAAAAAGAAAAATATTAAAAAAAGATACAGAAAATAAATTTTTTGTTTTCAATAGTAATTTATTAAAACTGAAAATTATTAAAATTATTTTTTAACATAACTAATTTTTTAAAGGTAAAATTTATTAAATTATATTGAGATTTGAGACAAGGCTTATAAATATAACATTTAAGTATCTATCTTGTTTCATGGGAATGTTTTGCGGGAATACTTGTGGAAGCCCCATTCATGTATGGATTTGGAAATAATGCTTACTCTAAAAGACCCAAAGTTTTGAAGTTGTCAATAATTTGTTGCACTTTTTTGTTGATCTAGAAAGCTAGCAATACAAGTCTTTTTAGGAACGAGAAGCAGGCTACACTAATGATCGATAACACGTATGTTTAATTGGATTAAAAATAGATCTAAATCATAGGCGGAGGCACATTGGATCTCAGGGTATACCGAGATGCCCCTCAAAAGAATATTAGTAGGGTAAATATTTTCGGAGATCTCAAAATATGGATTCGTTCTACCCACATACTACCTCACTCGATCGAGATCTCGAAATTCGAACGGCACCCCAGTGGAATCTGGTTTACTCTATTCATCTCGATCGTCTTCTCCATCTCATCTTCTGAATCACTCTATCTCCCCGGTGTTGCACCCCCTGATTTTCAAAGGGTACGTACTCACGAAGCCCTCGATATCCTTTCGATTTAGCAGTAGCATTTTCTTTTGATTTAATTTAGTTAATGTAACTGAAATCGACATTTATCTATATGTTTAACACGAATTATTTGTCTCCGTTGCTCTGATTACTCTTCCAAATCTCAGTCTATATTGTCATACCAACCGAGCTTAAATGTAGGGTTATTGCTTTGAATTTAAATTTCAACTTCCAATGCAAGTCACTAATCTGTTATACATAGATTTGGTGCTGGTAGTTAGACTTAATTAGTTGACTTAGCCAGGAATGATTTCTTCTTTGTGTTCCTAGACTGTACTTGTTGCTTGCCTAATGTCGGATTTATATTATTGACAACAGAAGTCGTAAATTTTCTTTATGTAACATGTGTCATGCTTTAAATGATAGGTCTTTCCTCTAGGGTTACAGGGTGGATACATTTGTAGTGACAAGTGGTCGGTAGTAATTACAAACTAAAGATCACTTAAGTGTAAATGATGGTTAAAACTTGTAAAATACAGATCACTATAATGTTGTTTTAGTTAACATAAAGTTTTTATTGATCATCTCATTTCAAGATCTTATTGCATATTATGCAAAAAAAAAAAAAAAAAAAATAATAATAATAATAATAATAATAATAATAATAATAATAATAATAATAATTGGGATACCCCTTTACTTTGATCCTGACTCCGCTACTAATCTAAATATAATTTTTGTAAGTGGCACGTGTGGTGTAATTCATTTTTATCTTGTTTCTCTCGTACTTCATCATGAGCTTCAAGTTTGAGCTTTTGTTTTTTGCAAATGAAATGTTTGATGTTCCAATAAAATCTATCTGGTTCTCATAATTACTTATGTATTTCGTATTTATATCATTTAACAACACCCTTAACAAAAAAAAAATACCTTGATATATAATAAATAAATAACTTCAGGATATTTTTCACCTTCATTTGTTTTAATTAGGGTAAATTACGCAATTCATCTCTCTTGCAAGTGTCAAAACGCATGTTCAGTCCTTCTTTTCAAAAATTAATTCAGATCATCTTTGGGTTGGCCTTTCCTTACATGGTTAGTTCCCATTGTCGTTAGCCGTTAGTTCTTATCGTTTAAGTGCCCCATGTTTAAGCGCCTTGCACACAGGGGTAATTTCGTATTTTCAGTTATTTTCCTCTTTTCATTTCAACGTTGGTAACTAGAAAATAAAGTAGGACCTAACCCACTTACACTACCCCCCCCCCCCTTGATATCTGATATGTAAAGCAACGTCTCCACCTACTCCACCCTAAATCCAAATCTCTCTATCCCTCTCTCTTTTCTCAACTCAATCAGGAACCTAAATCTCAACCCCATCCACCACTACTGGAAATCGCCTACTACTACCTGCATCTTGCCCACTGGAACCACATCGATATGTATCTAAAGCCACGATACATCATTTATTTGCTTCTGAAACCACAATCCATTGTCGATCTGCATCTCAATCCGTCTCTTTACTCCATCTTTCAATCTTTATCCATTACCATCGCCCCTGAAAGTCCAACCACCACATCGGGAATGACGACGACGTGATCGAGTGTTGGCATTGACGACCATCTTTGTAACACCCAATTAAAGACATTTTTCATTTTGACCATTGGTGTGTAATTAGTTTGCAATTTTGGTCCTTAGGGGGGGCATTTTTGTAATTTTTGTAGGGGAGTGCGTACGTTGGGCGTACCTCCCATACATTGGGCGTACAAATTCAGAGGACGAACCTTAATTTTAGGGTTTGGGCCCTATTTAAGAAACCATATGTCCTAAGGTTCTCTAATTTCTCAACCTCCATTTCCCTTTGAGTCCCATTTCGAAACCCTAACTCATCTAGTGAGATTTAACCCTTTGTGTGTGTTTTAGTGGGTGTTTAGTGAACCTTGAAGAAGAAGAAGAAACTTGGGGAAGGAGCCTTGATCAAGTAGGACCTTGTAGATCCAAATTCTACTCTCATTTCTCAGCTTCATTAAGGTATAAAGCTTCTATCTTGATGACTTTATTGTTAGATCTAGAATATGGTTTGTTTTGAGCACATTTTGGTCCCACGCATGAGTTTTAGTGGGAATTTGTCACTCTATAAGTTATGAGTTACTCCTCTTGATGTTTCTGAGATCCCTAGTTTATAAAGTTAGCATCTTGATGGTTGAAGACCAACCATACATGAGTATATGTCCATTTGGTGAAAGTGGGATGCAAAATCTAAGAATTTAGTCCATTTGAGTCATGCAGAGGCGCCAAGTTAGTGACTTTATGGATTAAGATGCTCCCCAAGGTTTGGATTTGGAATATGGGCATGTGGTTTTAAGCATTAAGTGCTTAATGGGGACGTACGTCAAGCGCATACAAGCTTACGTTGTGTGTACGCATCTGGATCCCCAACTATGTGTACCGATCTAGTACGTCAAGCGTACTCAGGGTACGCTTAGCGTACTCGACCTGGTCTTGGGTTTTTAATGTTAGGCCGCCTGTGGAATTTAGGGTTTTGGGCCCTTGTTGGGCCACAAGTCTTTTTGATTTTTGTGCCACTATTAGGCTTTGGGACTTCTTAGATTTGGGCCCATATTGCGCTTTGAGTGTCCTTTAGGAATTAGGCCTTTGTGTCATTGAGTTCCGGTCGCGGATTTTAGGCCAATTGAGGAAAGGATAAAATGGTATTTTACGTTGGAGTTGGGATTAGTTGATTAAGACTTGATTTTGATTTATGACCCAATTATTAATTAGAGTATTATTTGATTGGTTAGTGCTAGGATTATCCGGTTCAGCAGCTCGCACATTTATTTGATTTTCAGCAAATTGAGGTGAGTTTGCTCAATATACTATTTTTGACATCCCCAAAATCACGGCCAGAAAAGACCGGTTTCATTTATGCTTTTAAAATAATTTCAGAGTAAATCCTTTTGATTTAAAAGAGTTGCGGAATTTTGTTCCCAAAAACAAAACATGATCAAATAATATTTACCAAAGCAGTTCATAAAGAAAGGTATTTTCATTATATAATCAAAACTCGGGATGTCATGTTCCGATACAGACCATAAAGCATAAACGATAACATTACAAGTCATTCAACAAATATATATACATATACAGACTTGTAAACAAAACAACTCGAAAATTCATCCATCTTATGCCCTTGCGCCACTTCCTGTAATACAAATAAAACTGAGTGGGTCAGGCTTGGGAGCCTGGTGAGCATATAGGGTTTTCAACCCACAATAAATAATTAATTAAATTTCCTCAACCCAAAAATGACCCAATTACCCATTCCCGTTATTCTTACCTTACGTCCCTAAAACAACTATCACAAGGGACCTAGTCTCAGAATATTTCATCGGGGCGACAACACATGCTTCAGGGATTCCTTAGCAATATAAGTCAAATAAGGCAACCATGAGGGGGATGAAATACAACGAATGAACACTCATGTTCATTAACACCTATAGCTTATGAGCCTAATAGTGTTCCACTGTCTAGAAAGAGTCCGTGGTCGTCATCTAAATTCCGCTAGATGACTGGATCACAATGACATCGAGGCCTCTTATCTGTTTATCACACATCAACTATCTACCCATGCTCTACCCACCATATTAGTAGATAAAAATATATATTTTTATACAAACTTTAAAACCTGTATAGCATGTTCATTCAATACATGTTCCACATAACAGATGAGGCACACACACATAACACATATTTCATAGAGAATAAATCATATATGTGAGATAGAAGAAAGTGAATATACATTCACACATATAATCAACAAAATATACACATAACACGTATTTCGTATCTCATACTTCATAATTATGTGTTAGAAGAAAGTAACTACACACTCACTTGATCAGAAGATGATCGGACAACACTACGACTTGCAGAAGTAGTATTCTTCGGTAGATCTGGAAGATCTTCACAAAAACCGGGCTCCTCGCGGGCAGAGCTTTGGCTCAGGAATTGCACTTCTTGGGATCTTCGGGGCTTCGGGACTTGCTTCGCGGCTCGGGAATGATATTGGGGCTTCGGGATATGATTGGCACGCAAAACGATGCAAAATGGGAGAGAAGGAAGAGAAAATGAGCAAAAGAATCGGCTGCACTCGACTCCCTTTTATAGGGTCTGGATCCTCGATTTACGTCAGGCGTAAATCTAGGTACGTTGGGCGTAACCTGGATAGAATCGCTGACTCACCCCCCCCCTTTGGATAATATC